GTGTCAGACGTCAGCAAAGCTTCTGTCTGACAGCAGGGCCAGTCTTCAGCAAGCAATGGCTTGTGAAGGGCAGAGCAATGGGCCCAAGGTGTAAACAGGTGGTCACCCACATGGCCACCCACATGGCAGCTTTTTCTATGCCCGGGTGCCTATCTTACTTGTTTGTTTTGGGTGCTTCACTCACATATTTTCATGACTTTTTGTTTCCTAATTCCTCGAGGACAGTGCCAGGCCTGATGGGAGAAGAAAATCGGCACTGCTTGCGGCTTTGAGATTTTGCTGTAAGCTGGCATGTGGACAACCACAGCAAACAATAACTACAGCTTCCATGCACAACTGAACTGTCCTGGAGCTGTGTGAGGTAAGCAAGGGCTGGTGGCATGGAGCCAGCACTAACCCAGGGAAATAGCAGAATACTGGCTGAAAATGCCTCTGGGATTCCCTGTATTTTTCCATCGGCTTTTGTCACTGATACCTCTCCTTGCTCGGCCGTCAGAAATTACTCTAGACTGTCACAAATCAAAATAGGCACTTTCTCTTTTTCTTTCCCTCACATAAATACCTTACTCTGTATGGAATGACTTGGACCAGCAGAAATACACTGAGAAAGCGTAGTATTTTTGCTCTGTTCCAATACAGAACCAAAAGTAGTCAATGTCTGTGTATATAAACCTAGGCCATGCCGCTTTGCACACAAAGTGGTGATGCCCCCAGGAATGAGTTTCACTCTTTAAACTGGCAACATGCAATCACTTCCAATGGGCAGTGGAACATGAAACAGATCATCATCCCAACCATGTTGTAGGTTTTCTATACTCACATATTCATCTTGGGTGTGTGTGGTCAATTTTCAAGTGAAAAAATGTTTGAATCACTTTGTGTTTCCTGATTCCTTTGTCTCATTTTCTCTTACCCGTGTTTCTCCATAGAATGTTTGAGGGAAGAACAGGCTAATTCTGGGACTTGGCCCACATTACCCTGTCGGGAGCGGTCTTTGTGGGGCTGCAATCGGAGCCAGCTGAGTGGCCCCAAGTCCGTACCTGAGTGGGGGAGTGTGGATGAGGGGAGGGCTAGGTATAGATGATAAAGAAAAGACAGAGAGACAGAATAAAGGTCAGGAGGGAAGATCAGTCAATACTGAAATGCCAGGAGTTTATTTTTCACCACTCTTATATGCCTTATCCAAAAAGGGGAACACAGTATCATGTGTACAGAACAAACAGACTTTTCTTCCTCATTTATTCTAAGGGTTCAGTAACCACACCTTAGCTTCAACTTCTTGTTCCCTAGCCTTGGGGATCAGGAGTAGCCACACCTCAGATTCAGGTCACAGCCAAACATCCTATTGTAGCCATACTCTTGCTGAGGACAGATTTGAACACTGTCCTTGTGCCAAGATAGAGTGCAGCCATCTTTATGGGCACCCACATTACCCCCCCCTCCAATTAGACACTAGCATTGGTGGTGCACACCTTTAATTCCAGCACTTGGGAGGCAGAGGCAGGTGGATCTCTGTGAGTTCGAGGCCAGCCTGGTTTACAGAGCTAGTTCCAGGACAGGCTCTCTGAGACAGAGAAACCCTGTCTCAAAAAAAAAAAAAAAAAAAAAAAAAATTAGACCCTGAGCTCACTCAGGGCAGCTGTTGTATCTGATGACACCTGAGCTATAGAAAGTTTATGAATAAATGATGACAACCTGAGCTATAGAAGCCTAATAAATGAATGCCACTCTTGGAATGATGTTGGAGTACCCCATCCTGGACTCATTAGGACAGCACAGATAGGTGAAATACTTCCATCACTGACGGCTGGACTGAGTACCTGAGGCCAGCACCCTGGGCCAGGAATGCGTGTACCCTTAGGAAATGCTCCAGGTGTTCTGTGGGGACAGGAAACAGTCTCACAGGGTATGTAGACTCTGTCACATTCTCCATGCCTCCTGGGAGTCAGAGGGAGCACAGAAGAGTGTCATGTGAGGGTGTGGGGATTCATCCAAAGGAGGAGAAAGCTAGAGGAAGCTAATAGACTTCAGATGTCTAGGGGTGTTAGCAATCCGGGCCATGGATCTGGCTCCTTGGGTAGACCAGGCTGGGAATAGTATCCTTAGGCCCAGGGTGGAGAATGAGGAAGAGATGCATAGGTACCACAGCAAAAGGAAGCCATAGAGGGTTTTGTTTCTAGCCCCTCCCCTGGACCATGAGGAGGAGGCTCCCATTCTTAAAGGGTTTGCCAGATTCCAGGTAAAGAAAGCCCCAGGTGAGCCTTTGGCCAGGTGCCTGTTAGGATACTTAATATTCGCCTGGAAACAGCTCCTTAGAATTTCCCAGGAGCCTTTGGGTAACCATATAGCCTATGGGTGAATAAGCCACTGCTCCCTCCTCCCCACCCCCCACCAAGGGGGCCTGGAAGACTTGAAACTGGAATTTCAATACCACTGCCTGGAATGGATTGGAAATGTCTTGTGCTGTGGATGGGTAGGGGCCAGGAGCCTCCTACCTTCTGGCTTCACTATCAGATTTTCTGATGAGGACTTTCAGGACTTTTTTATAAGAATGCTGGGGCATGGCTGGCCCTTAAGTAAAGTCAGCATGGGGCCCTGTGTTACCAGATTGATTATTCCCCACAATGCAGTCTCCACCCCTTCCCAGGACCCCCTGCTGGTCTAACATTAAACAACACACTCCCTGTCACTGCCTCAGCCTTTCACGAGCCCTCTTAGGCTTCCCACTTCCCATGCCACTGGATGCACCTCTGGGGATAAGAGGCCCAAAAAGCTTTTCCCACCTCCAGCCAGGCATGCTGTGAGGTGTGAAGGGCAGACTTTAGGCTGTAAGCCTCTGGTCTCCCTTGGTGCAGTGGCTAGGGGTGAGGTTGAGGTGGGGTGGGGAGACAAGTGGCTTGGGATGAACAGAGACACCACAGAATCTAGTCAAAGCCAAAGGTAGACACCACAGCCCGGCCCATGGCTCAAACCACCACTCGGAAGGGAGCCCCTAAACTGGAGTGAGGGGATCAAAGAAGAGGCCTGCTGCAAGCTCAATCCAGTGATTGCAATTTCAGAGGGCAGTAAGGGTGGGAGGTGACGGGAGGCTGTAGCCGGTGCCTGTCTGTACCATCAGGGCCGTAGCTCAGTGTCACAGGCGCCACATCTTTCCGGCCTGTTAGCAGACATCCAGCAGGTGTTAGCACCTGCTGAAGATAGAAGGCCAAAGGAGACAGCATTGAGATCTCTGCACCTCAAACTCCACTCTACAGCACCATTCCAGCTGCATCTGGCTTCCATACCTTCCATGACACCCTGCTGAATAGTCCCAGTACCTGAAATCCCCAAGGTTTCTTCACTCCTGTAGTCCTCCAAGCCCCAGACAAAGCAGTGCATCCTACTACCACGGGCAGCAGCGGCTGGCCCTGGGGCCACACCAGGAAAAGCAAGGGCCAAGGGGGGCTTCAAGTTTCCTTGTACAGTGTGTAGGCTTTTGCTCTATACAAAGGAAGGAAACAAAACAGGACTGTCTGTGGCCCCCAGAGAGAGGGGACCTGATCCAGTGGCATTTCTGATGAGTGCTGAAGGGATACACAGGTGATTGTGAGCATCCCAGGGGCGGGAGTCTGTTTGAGCTGGAATCCAGAGCAGGGGACCGATAAGGTTTGGAAAGCTGTATGTGAGCAGAGGCTGGTGACCCAGAACTGTATGCTTTTGTCAGTTCTCAAGGAGGGAGGTTCAATAGCTGCTTTCACATCCCTCACCCCCTCCCGACCAGCACAAGATGCTGCCTGGGACCTCCACTTTCCATGGGGTCAAGCCTCTGGACCCTTTTCCAGGTCCTGAAGCTAACATTCAGGAAGGTCCTAAGGTACCGGAAACTGGTGCTCTCAGCTCCTTCCTTACTCCTAAGCTTACTTACTAAGCTTGGCTGCTTAGTGCTTCCAGATAAGACTGTTGTGGAGCACCATCAGAAAGGGACAGTAGGAAGGAGTAGGTTCCCAACCCCGTACTCGGCTCCGTGGTAGATGGAAGCCTGGCCTGTGCACACAGACATGAGAAGGAGACAGATCTGATGAGCATCCCCAGTAAAAACCAATTTTTTAAAAAAAGTTTTTTTTTTTTTTTAATAAAAATATGTGTAAGAGTGTATCTGCATGTGAATGCAGGTACCGGAGGAAGCCAGGGGAGGGCGTCAGAGGCCGGGGTAAGAGTCATGAGTGCTGGGTTCCAAACTTGGTCCTCTTAAAGAACCAGCATGTGGTGTTAACTCCTGAGCCATCTCCCTAGTCCCTACTTTTTTGGGGGGGAGGGGGTATTTTTTTTTTTTGCCCAGGTTGGTCTCGAACTAATGAATTCAAGTGATCCTTTTGTCTCTGTCTCTCATATCTCTGAGACCACAGGTAAATTAGGCACTTACCTAATAGCACTTCTTTGTTCCTGAATACCAGATGACACTGGAGAATCTTCATACACGGAAGTGTGAAGATGCCATGAACCTTACATAGGTTTTTTTCCCCAGGGACCACATGACTCCCAGGATGATGGGGCCATTCTTTATGGGTTCTAGGAAGAAAGGGAGTACAAAGGATAAAGCCTCCTGCCCAGTGTCCAGGAGCTGAGCCTGCTAGTGTCCCTTAAGCATTCACATGCACACATACACACATATTCGTGTCACCACCATCAGACCCTTGTGGGACCCATCATGAACCCACTTCTGAGACAGCCAGAAGCAAGGAGCCACTGGGCATGTGTGGTCCCCTCCCTACAGTACTGCTCCTTTAAAGGGATTCTTCTGCCGCCCTGACACTCATTCCTTTGCGCTTCATCAGAGATTGAGCAGTCAGCCCCCAAAGAGCAGCCCCAGGCTGGTCTATGCTGGGCATGAGAACAGGCAGCATGTGAGCCAGGTCACAGTGTTAAGGATAGAGGAGAGCTGGAAGTCTGGGGATAAGTCCCGGAGCTTTCCATGCTCTTATCTTCTCTGAGAGCCTGAGCAGCTACCACCTTGCCTTACCATGGACTCTTCTTCAGGGCCCACAGCCCCACCAGGCTTAACTCAAGGTCCCAGCTTTATGGCCAGTACTGGCCTACATAGCCATTGGAACAGCACTCAGAAGGTCTCCACAAGAGCCCCGCTTCTATCTGTGAGCCCTACGGTAAGTCTGGGGACCGTGTGTGTGCATAGAGACTTCCATCCCCAGCCCTGACCTACCCCCACTTTGACAGGCAGATAGGCAAAGTCTGAGTTTAGATGCATGACCTTGGGCATCACTTAACTTCTCTGAACTTTCCCTACAAACTGGCTGAGTAAGCAGGGTAAAGGCAATGTCTTTATTTGCAGAGATCATTGGAGGACCAGAAAGGCAGGCACTGTCTGCTCTTGGTGGCAATCTGTTCTTTCCAGACATTGGCTAGATACCTTGTGGAAGTATTATAGAGAAGAAGGCATGCCCAGGCTTCTGGATTTGTACAGGCCAGAGTGGGATGCTGGGCAGGACAAAGAGCAGAACACCCCCTTTCCCTGGGAGCTATCCTTATTCCCTGTACACTAAACTCACGGGGCAATGCTCTCTCTGCAATGACCCCGAAAGGAACCTAAGCTTGCTTTCTAATGGAAAGTTTTTCTCCCTCTTTTGTCAGGCTTCAGTGTCAGTCCTATGTTACAGGTGTGGCAAGTTCTCCCTTAAGGCTTGCTATGGGATATGCATACATTGGGAGGGCAGGCTCTACTCATGGTCACCCAAGACATCTCCCTGTTCTGCAGGCACACATCTGTCTTGCCAGCCTTCAGCAGACAACCTGAGCCTTTTACCTTTCATTTAGGAGCCCAGCACCTGCACATATATGGGCTTGGGGTTAAATTTTGGAAGACCTGTACTTTGTCCTATGCCTTGGTCATAGCTTTTCACCTGTGTCTCAGTTTCCACACTTGCCTTATTGGGGACTTACTCTTCCTTTCCAGGAACATCTGTAATTGATGCCCTCTTATTTCTCTCTCCACAGGCATCTGGACCTGAGGCTGCTGCCTGGGTCCCCTTCCCCACAGTCGATGTTCCAGACCATGCTCACTATACCCTGGGTACGGTGATCCTGCTGGTGGGGCTCACAGGGATGCTGGGCAATCTGACAGTCATCTACACCTTCTGCAGGTGCCTGCTTGGTGGGCCTGGGTGAAGGGCACTGTGCATATCCAGCCATGCAGATAGGGCAGAATACAGGGGCAAAGTGTCACCCAGCTCTATCCAGGCTACCTTAGGAATGGCAGAGAAGCAAGGACTACATGTTCTGTAGTATCCAGTCTAGGTATCAACTTTTAAGCTGATGAAAAGGGAACAAATGGCCCAGGGAACCTTGAATAGCTTGTGCATGCCCAGTGAGCTTCAGGCATACCCTCTGAGGCAGGCAGGTACTCCAGGACCTTCAGGTCTCTGCTCATTCTACCCTGCTCTCAGTTCACCTCTAACATGCTCTGCTCCCAGAGGAAACCTCCCTGTGCCTTGAAGAGCATCCCTGGACACAAGGATTCTTGAACTCCCAGCAGCTAATCCTAGCAGCCAGCCTGGCTTCCTCCCCACTTGCCCTGCTGGCTGCTGGCTGAAACAGGCGGGTTGGGAAGCTAGCACAGACTAAGCTCCACCAGTGGGAGAACAGAGCCAGTCCTTTATTCTCTCTTGAGCCCACATCGATTCTCTGCAACATGTAGCTGTGGCTTCCACATCACTGTTACTCTTGTTTGTGCATTGGTTAGAAAATGAATTCCAGCTTTGCAACTTCCTGAGTTGTGATGGGGACCAAATCCATTTGTGTCTTCTGGAGAAGGGGTCCATGATGCCTCCCTTAGGAGTAATTATTAAGATGAATAGTCCTAGAGGAGGGTTGTGAAGGTTCTGGTCCCTTGGTCAGAGTTATAGGTCTTGGGCCCTTTGCCAGCTCAAGAGTGAACAGCGCAGGGCCAAGCTGGGCAGTAGAAGGAGGGAGAGGAGAAAGAAGAGAAGGAGGCCCACGTAGGTAGTGAGAAGGAATCATAGAAAGTGGGAGGGGTAGCCAGAGAGGATTGCCCAAGGGACAGAGTGAGTCAAAGGAGGGAATGGTCCAGAGAATGAGAAGAAGAAAGGGGGGAGAAGAAGAAAGGGGTGTGGCCGAGAGCCAGCTTCCTGGGCTGCACAGCTCTTTCTGGAGATGCTGCTCTTCACTTTACTATGAAGGACGGCCATGGGAGATCCTTTGCCTGTATTAGTGGTGATACTTGCTGGACTGAGAGACATGCCTGTGGGTGGCCCAAGAGCCCCCGCTTATGTCTATTTGTGTGTGTGTGTGTGTGTGTGTGTGTGTGTGTGTGTAGAGGGTGTGTGTGTGCATGCATGGCATGTGGTGTGCCCGTTTACATTTAGTGTACTAGCTTTCGTGTATACAGGTATGCATGAATTGCTGAGGGTGAGGGAAGGCTCCCATAGTTCCACGGCACTGACTTCCTCTGACCTCACAGGAGCAGAAGCCTGCGGACACCGGCAAACATGCTCATTATCAACCTTGCAGTCAGCGACTTCCTCATGTCATTCACTCAGGCCCCAGTCTTCTTTGCCAGCAGCCTCTACAAGAAGTGGCTCTTTGGGGAGACAGGTAGACACTTGGGTTCATTTTCGCTGTGGGGAGGAAGGGCTCTTAATGGAGGGATGCTGCAGTGGCGGGAGTCTTCCTAGATGAGGTGCTTTGCTCTTGTTGGGCACAGGGGGCAGCACCTTGAATCCCACAACTGAGTGAAGAGGAAAGATGAAGGTCTGGCCCTGATAGCCCTGCCAGCCTGGCCAGATGTGGCAAGCAAGCAGGGTCCTGTATTCTGGGAGGCAGGGAAGGAGCGGAGTTTGTCCCATCCTTTGGGACTTTCTTCCCCAGGGTCTTAGGGAAGTGGGTGTACCCACAGGTTGCGAGTTCTATGCCTTCTGTGGGGCTGTCCTTGGCATCACTTCCATGATCACCCTGACAGCCATAGCCCTGGACCGCTATCTGGTGATCACACGTCCACTGGCCACCATTGGGATGGGATCCAAAAGACGAACGGCCCTTGTCCTGCTAGGTATCTGGCTCTATGCCCTGGCTTGGAGTCTACCACCCTTCTTTGGCTGGAGTAAGTGGGCTGGTGCTATTGGGGGAGGGGCAGATGGGCTGCAAAAAGGAAGTTTAAGGGAAGGTTGGGTTGGCCAGCTGGCAGAGGCTCTCATGGAACACAGAGGTCTCAGGTCAGATGGTCATTTGTGGCATGACCAGCATTGGGAGAAGCATCAGGGAGCTGTCGCCAAATATGGGGGTTATTGGATGGGAACAAGTGGGGCATATTTAATGCTGAGTTTGTCGGCAGCCGGGCTAGCCCTGGATGGTTCTGGGGCAGTGAGGCCTCAGCAGGTGGACAAGCAGCACGGCTTTAGCCCTGAGGATCACAGCCGCAGAGCTACAGAGGGGCTAGCTCCAGGCAATGCTAGATTGGTGTCCCTGCTAGATCCAACTTGGGAGTCTCCTTTCAGGTCTCTCAACTGCCCCTGGCTTTCTCAGATCTGGGCAGGGTAGGCTTATTATGGCTGGAGCCAGAGTGTGCTTAGGAACCCCGAGCTTCACATTTGAAGCCCCGACAGAACAAGGAGCCTTAAGCAACTGAAGGCTGAGCCCCTGTCCCCGGCTCCCAGGTGCCTATGTGCCTGAGGGGCTGCTGACATCCTGCTCCTGGGACTACGTGACCTTCACGCCCCAGGTGCGTGCCTATACCATGCTGCTCTTCTGCTTCGTGTTCTTCCTACCCCTGCTTGTCATCGTCTTCTGCTACATCTTCATCTTCAGGGCCATCCGAGAAGCAGGCCGGTGAGTGCGCTGTGTAGCGCTGAACCAAGCAAGGTAGGGTCTGCCCATCAGAACATACTGGGATGCAGGTAGGTTAAGACAAGGGAACTCATGTGCTTATGAGGTGAGGGCATCTAGGAAAGCTCCTAGAGACAAGTCTTCTGAGGAGGGGCTTATGACTGCACTCCTGGCAGAAACACAGGCGGGCAGCTGAGGCTCAATAAGAGGCCTTTCTGGAAGTCAGAGCTGTCTGTGTGGGAAAGGATGACCCTTCCTATGTGTCCCCAGTAGCTGTGACCTGGTACTTGCTACAACCCAGATGCAACTTTCCTAGGGCCTGTGAAGGCTGGAGTGAGTCCCCTCAGCGGCGGCGGCAGTGGCATCGGCTGCAGAGTGAGTGGAAGATGGCCAAGGTCGCACTGATTGTCATCCTCCTCTTCGTGCTCTCCTGGGCCCCCTACTCCACGGTGGCCCTGGTGGCTTTTGCTGGGTGAGCAGGAGCCATAGCACTGGTGTAGGGGATTAAGGGACAGGTCCAGCCAGGTAGCCTCTCCTTCCAGCCTGACCCCAAACCAGCCATCCTGATACTCCATGTCCAGCTTGACAGCCTCACCTCACAAGGCTTACCCAGTTCCTGGAAGCTTCCGGGATATCCTGGGGTAGCCCTGGTTACACCCAGGAAGTCTGGGGACATCCATCTCCTTGGGAACATGCAGATATTTCTGAGGATCAGGTTCCCTCTTAGCCTGAGCTATAGGCACACAGCAGGAGCAGCTGCTTCTAAAGAATGGATCCCTAGGAGGTTCTCTCTAGTACCCTCTATGGCTCGAGTCTGGTAACCATGGTGCCTTCAGCAGCATGGGCATGGGCTGGATTTCCAAAGCACTTCTATGAGAATGAGATTTTGGTATTTTGAAGTATTTGGGTACCAATCTTTTTGAGTAGTAATAATGCAGTCTCCTAAAGGAGAAGTTTTCTCTAGGACATCCAAGGGGATAGTGTACAAGATGGGGTTACGGTTTAGCAACATTGCATACGAGATCTGAAGGCTAGGGACAACTGAGTGTCATAAAGAGGTATTGTCAGCTGCATAGGTTCTAAGGGACAGTGGGACCTAGCCACCCCCACCCCTGCAGGTGTGACATATCTTCCTCCTAGAGCCACACCCACAACCATCTTTAATATCCTTCCTACCCACCTTAAACCAGAATCCTCACTGTGCTGCAAGTCTGTCACCATGGGGCTGGCTTGCCTGTGTTGGTTTAGGCTGGGCTGGCATTGTCTTAGGCTGGGCTGGATATTGGTTTAAGCTCAGCTGGCATTGGTTTAGTTTGGGCCTTGGCAGAGTCAGCCATAGAGACAACTGGGGGTATGAGTAGGGAACCGCACACCTTTTCTGTCCTAGGTACTCGCACATCCTGACGCCCTACATGAGCTCAGTGCCAGCTGTCATCGCCAAGGCCTCTGCCATCCACAACCCCATCGTTTATGCCATCACTCACCCCAAGTACAGGTGCGGCCTCCTCCAGGCCTTCAAGCCCACCTAGGGGCATGGAGGGTCTGAGCCTACAGATGAAGGCAGAGGTTATCTGCCTCTCTGATTTCTCATATGTGTGTTAGTTGGGGGTTATGAACACCTTGGTGCAGCTAGCAATACTGGGAAGGGTCTGAAGTTGCCATGCTCCCTCTTCTTTCCCATATCCTACACGGCATCAATGGTCCCCTGTGTGGAAGCCAATCCTAGCTACACAGCTGTCTCATAAGGCAGCCAGGGCAGATGACTAGCAGTACTTCCTATGCAGAGGCAAGTCCCCAGACTGTAACAACCTGCAAACACCCCAGCAGGGCATGCTTGCTTCCACCGGGGGCCCTGGCAGCACCCAGAGGTAATCTGGCCAGGTCCACACTCAACTAAGAAGCAAGGCACTGCTGTGGGCCTTCAGAGTTTTCAGTTTAGTGATGTCCAACACTGACCTCAGTCAGTCCAGCCCATAGTACTTAGGTGTGTCCATGGCACCCATTCCCAGAGATGTGACCTAGGGCAACCATGTTAGGACTTGAAGCGATGTCTAGTTGGTTGAACCCACTACCCCAAGGCTCTCACTCTGTGTCCACCATCCCCTGGATCTGTTGTTAATCCCATCAGCCCCGGGAGCCCACCAGTCTCTTTCACCTAGATGTCTGTCTGTCCCCATTACCAGCATCTGTCTGTTCATCAACTCTAACCCTGTATCAGTCTGTCCTTTCCTTTTCCCTTTCATGTCCCTTTACTCTAACCAGATATGTAACTCCTACAGGGCAGCCATTGCCCAGCACCTGCCTTGCCTTGGGGTGCTTCTTGGAGTGTCAAGCCAGCGCAACCGCCCCTCCCTCAGCTACCGCTCTACCCATCGCTCTACACTGAGTAGCCAATCCTCTGACCTGAGCTGGATCTCTGGACCGAAGCGTCAAGAATCCCTGGGTTCTGAGAGTGAGGTGGTAAGGATGCTGGGCCTTCGCTGGCTGGGACCTCACATTCCCTCTCCCAACCAGCCCCAGGGACCTGAATCTGGTTGGCAAGGCCACATATCAGACTGGGAGACACCTCACCTCTTCTAACCTCCAGCGCATCACCCTCTGTGACAACTAGGAATACCCAGTCAGAAAGGAGATGGGTGGTCTGAAGTCACCCAGCAGCAGTCCAGTCTAAACACAGCCTTTCTGGGTCACCTTTTTCTCCATGGCAAAAGCTGACCCAGGGTCCTTGTTCCTTTGCACTAAGCCACCATCTTACAGGAGGTGTGAAGGGCTACAAGCTGCAGAATAGGGGGAAGTACCAGCCTGGGATCAGACCTGGCTTCAAGCCGTGACCCACCACACCCTCACTGTGTGATCTGAGAGCCAGCATGGCTGGACTGACCAACTACCTTCCACTGTTCTATCGTTGAGGCCTTCTGTTAAGCTGTGGAGCTGCCAGGGTCCCTTCTCTAAGCCACTAGTAGAAAATGAGGGGTCTGTCTTATTTGCTAATAGAAGCCTTGACTCTTGTGAAGGCCACCTAGCTAAATACCCACATGCTTAAGCAGGCAAACACTGCCAACTCCAGTATGAGTTTTCCTGGACTTTGGTGACCACAACTTTGCAAATGATGCCATGGGTCCCCTTCAGTGAATGCCGGTGTTGAGGCTGGCGCTGGAAGAGGTATGAGTACGCTGTTAGGAAGTTGTCCCTCAGCTGGGCATTGGTGGCACACACCTTTAATCCCAGCACTCGGGAGGCAGAGGCAGGAGCTAGTTCCAGGACAGGCTTTAAAGCAATACAGAGAAACCCTGTCCCAAAAAAACCGAAAAAGAAAAAAAAAAAAAAAGAGAGAAAGAAAAGAAAAGAAAAAGAAAGTTGTCCCTTCTCGCCTCAAAGTTGCTCTCCCACCTCCCCAGGGATGGACAGACACAGAAGCAACAGCTGTGTGGGGAACTGCCCAGCCAGCAAGTGGACAATCCTCCTGTGGTCAAAACCTGGAAGATGGGACAGTCAAGGCTCCTTCCAGCCCCCAGGTATGGAAATCCAAGGTTTCCAAGGTCCTTAGACCCTGCCAGTCTGTGAATGCCTAGGGAGCCAGGCCAAGTAGCCTAAGAAGCAGTCAGAAAGGTAGGCTTGTCGTGTGAGCAGGCCTCTCAGAATCATCTCTTCCCATATACCCCAGCTTTGCCTTGCCTGCCTGGAGGGCCTGTGACTCCCAGACATCCCTGTTAGGGCCTGAGTATGGTCTGTGACCAGGGGAGATTCTGAATGTGACTGAGTGACTATGTGTGCATGAAGCGTTGTTGGTGATGTTGTGCCATGACAGATGCAGAGTTATAATTGTATGTGCTCATGAAAATGTGCCGTCTGCATCAGAGAACAACTCATGCATGTGTGGCCCATGTTCCTGACACATGCTATCTGTCACTGTGATGCCTCTGTGTTGTGTGGCTGATGGAGTGTAGATGCTTTTGTCCGATTTTGATTCTGAACATACCTGCGGAAGAGGCTGCAAGCTGTACAAGTGCTCACTGCCAATGCCCTGAGCTCAAGATGTCACTCAAAGTACTCGTAGCTATAAAAAGAAGGCCAGCTGTCAGCCCGGGTGCCTATGGAATGGAATGTCGATGGTGTTAGAAAAGGCCGTGTTTTGGAACACTGGAAATGCCATGAGCACAGGCAGTCCCTCCCCCGTCAGCTGGCAGCTTCCCTGTTCTCCTCTTTCTTACACGGAGCCCCCTATCAGCCACTGAGTATTCTGGAGCTTCCTTAGCCACTCTGGGATCATGGGTGTGTCCTGTCTTCTGTCCTTATGCTGCTTCCCTATGAGTAACCTGCTGCTGCTTCTGCAGTTGGGAAGCCCCCCCCCCCCCGTGCTGTATCCCAGGCACAATCACAGAGGTCAGGCCACAAGCCTGAAAGTGGCCTGTGATGATCAGCAAATGGTTGAAGACATAATATCTCTCCTGGATGGAGGCAGGACCACGGAGACAGGCTTTTAGCGTGGAGGGTCAAGCATTAGCAGTTGCCAAACACAAGTGATAAGCATTGCCATCAAGTCGCAAGTACACAGAAGCAACTCCCTGGGGTTCCCTGGGGGAAGGGGTTGAGCTGTCTGTTTGACATCCTGAGTGAACACAGTGGGACTCAAGAGAAGGAACTTGGTGTCCTGGAACAGTGTGTGTGTGTGTGTGTGTGTGTGTGTGTGTGTGAGAGAGAGAGAGAGAGAGAGAGAGAGACAGAGAGAGAGAGAGAGAGAGAGAGAGAGAGAGAGAGAAGAGAATTAGGAGCATCCAAAGAGACCCTGGGGATAACACTAGGGATGTAGAAAGGAAGAGGGGCAGGTGGTAGGTGTGGTAAACTGTGCAGGTGTGTGTGGGTGTGTGTGTGTGTAGGGGTCTCCTGACCCTGGGGAACAAGGAGCCAGAAATGGGCTTAATCACCTTTGCAGTACATCCAGGCCCTTCTGATGTGCCCCCAGGGAGATTGTGGTGGGCAGGATAAGCCTGTGAGGTGTACTTCCTGAGGAAGCTGGTGCTACAGGGCAGGCAAAGGGCGAGTGAGCTGGGGAAGCAGGGATAACAGGGACACCAGGCCTCACATATACAGGATTGCAGAAGAAAGATGACCTGGGTAGGGCCCATGAGAGTTTAAATCTCAGGAGTGCAAGAGCCAGAGGCTGTCCCGGGGGTTATCCTGAAAATAGCCTGAGATTTTGCTGGCTCCTTCCTTGAGGTGTGGTCCTTGAGAAGGTCCACCCGCAACCTTGACCACAGCCTGGAACTTCTACACAATTGCCGTCATCTGTTAGTAGTCTCAAATGTGAAGTGGTATTAGAAGGCTGCCCTGTGAGACAGATGTGTATTGTTTACTTTCAGACCAGGGGACAGCTCCCCAGCCTGGACCTCGGGATGCAGGATGCCCCCTGACCCTCCTTTTCCTCTGCTATTTGCCCAGCCTTATCACCTCCTTGTCACACACACAAACCCAGGATTATCTCCAAAGCCTGGAAGCTCTGGAAGGTCACTGTCACCTGTCTACACTGGACTCACGGCTCCAGCCCCCTTCCCACACCATCAAAAGCCTGTCTTGAAGCATGGTCTGCACGGCTCAGCAGCCACACCTGGGTTCTGCCTGAAGCATGGACCCAGGCTCTCTCTCCTGCCTCACTCCCAGCAGCCACCTCCTCTTCTCACACACCGGATACTGCGATTGTCCAGGCGATGACAATAGCGATGTCACCGAGAAACACATCATTTATTTATGAGTCAAGCATCTTGGCTAGCCTTTGTGACCAGGCTGCATTGGTCCGGAAAACGCAGCCCAGCGCCCCCTGCTGCCAGTGGTCAAAAGTGGAACACAGACTTGACTTTGCACACCAGAAACACGTCTTCAATTCTAGCTCCCATATAGCATTCACACTGTGGCCCACACTCGCGTGCACATGGGCACTGGCGAGCACATAGGCACCTGTCTGCATGTACACCCTGCCCTTACTGATTGTTTTGTGTCAGTGGTCTAAGTTCCTTCCACATGTGGATCTGACAGGACACTGGAAAATAGAAAAACAAGGTCTCTTGTGATAAACATGTCTACTGGTACTTCTATGGAGAAGAGAACAGGTCTGGTCTCCATGCCTCCAGCAACTTCCTTCTCCCTTCCCTAAGGATTTTCACTCCTGAAAATCCATTTCAGACTGTAGGGGAGCAAACTAGAGGAGGCACAAAGGCCAGTTTGGCCCATCCCCTTCTCCCCAGGGAGGTGTGGAACTCCACCCAGCCATGAGTACCAGCTGCTCTCCAACTGGTTTCGGGTCTCCCAGGGGAGGCAGAGGGAGGCTGGCCTTTCCCTTTAAGATCATCTTCTCACAACCCTCCCTTACCCAGAAGCAAGTCATCAGGCAGTGCCAGAGTCCAAAGAAAGAGCCTTCTGCTCCAGGTACAGCCTTGCTGGGGCTCCAGGTCCAGGGTCAGGTGCACCAGGTCAGCCCCTTTCTTTTTGGTTATGCTGTGTGGCGGAATCTTCCCCATCTGAGAAGGACAGATAGGCCTGGGGGACAAGGATGGAGTTAGGGGTAGATGGGATGGTGCAGAGGATGGGATGGGATGGGATGGGAGAGGGATGGGATGGGGTGGGAGAGGGATGGGATGGGATGGCATGGGAGAGGGATGGGATGGGATGGGAGAGGGGATAGGATGGAATGGGATGGGATGGGAGAGGGATGGGATGGCATGGAATGGCATGGGATGGGATGGGATGGGAGAGGGATGGGATGGGGTGGGAGAGGGATGGAATGGGATGGGAGAGGGGATGGCATGGGATGGGATGGGAGAGGGATGGGATGGGAGAGGGGATGGGAGAGGGATGGGATGGGAGAGGGGATGGGGTGGGAGAGGGGATGGCATGGGATGGGATGGGAGAGGGATGGGATGGGAGAGGGGATGGCATGGGATGGGATGGGAGAGGGATGGGATGGGAGAGGGGATGGGAGAGGGATGGGATGGGATGGGAGAGGGATGGGATGGGATGGGAGAGGGGATGGGGTGGGAGAGGGATGGGATGGGATGGGATGGGAGAGGGGATGGGGTGGGAGAGGGATGGGATGGCATGGGATGGCATGGCATGGGATGGGATGGGAGAAGGGATGGGATGGGGTGGGAGAGGGATGGGATGGGATGGGTGCTGACCTCCTAGCCCATGAAGGTGGAGTTGCATAGTACAAACAGATGAAACAGAGGGAAAGAGCACACGTTCCCCCCGGCTTCTTCCCCTTGCTATTTCTATGACCTTGAGCAAATTGCCGAGCAACCCTGTAATATTAATACTCTTACCGTGCTCCCTATGTATGCCAGGCTCAGGGTATAGGGCTGGAGTTGTGGCAATTAGGAAATTACTCACATCCAAGCCTGCACTGAGTCCTCCAGGTTAGTGTGGTTGAGAGGACCAGCAAGATGCCAACTCCCCTGAGTCTCAGTTTCCCGAGCTGGGAGCTGGAATGACCCTCAATCTATCTCCAGGTTACACACGATCTGAAGTCTCTCTTGGGGGAAGACGGGCTTCTGGGGCATCTTAATGCAAATGTCATGATGGCTGACACCTCAAGTCTCTGTACTGTCTCTGGAGCATAGGCTGAGCATGCCGCACATGCTTCCCTTCCCTTCTCCTTCTGGCTCTGTGTCCTAGCAGCTGAGCAAATGGCACTTCTTCCCTACCCCCTGTCGTTCCTGCGCAAAGGGCATGGAGCCTGGCGTGCAGTGCTGGCAGCTGTAGCTTTCCATGCTGCCGTCAAGTTTTCCAGGGCACAAATGAGACGGGAGAGCCAGGAATAACTGCTTGGGCCCCAGAGGGTCTAGAGGGGTGGGACAACCCCAGACCTGGCTTCAGACCTTTTCCCAAGGGGTCAAACAGCACCCTACTCCAGGCCAGGACTTTGGAAGATGCCTATAGCCATCAGGAGCCCATTATCTGACTTGAGTCCCATTGAAATGAACCCAGGCTCCAGTAGGACCCGAGTCCATTCCCTGTGTGACCTTGGGGAATGTGTTTAACTTCTCTGAGCCTCAGCTCTTACAATCCAAGGTGGCAGCGTCTTAGGACCCCAAAGAAACTGGTGTGAAGGGCCCTTTCCTGTACTTGGCCATGTTCAAAGTACTACCATTTCATGGTCATTTTTATGTATGGACCCATAAAAGTGACCCGGGAGTCAATCAGCACTCTTGGGAATGGAAGGTTTTTCAGACCTGCAGGAAGCTAAGCTAAGTCCAGGGCCCCACAGGGCCCCACGATGGGTAAGGTGCCAACTCACGGTCCTTACCAGGAACAACAGAATAGCAAAACCCCTACCCAGAGGAGGATCCACAGTGGGCCCACTGACTAGAACAAGGGTGCATGGGCTCTGCAGAGGGAACAAAGGGGGCCAGTCCTCTCTGCCTGCCCCTTGGGGATGGGTGTTCTGGGTGCCTGACACCTCTTCCCAGGGTCTATATTAGCTGTGTGAGTCATGGTAGAGTGGCTGCAAGGCCACCGGCAGGCGGGCCCAGTGTTGGGTTACAGTCCATTTATGGGCGCAACAAGGGCAGATATCAGTGTCGATGGCATGCACTCCCAGCTATTCTTAGGAGCCTCCCAGGAGCTCTGCACAGCCTGGCCAGGCAGCAAGGGACACAGCAGGCAAGGCCAGGGCTCGGGGTCCTGGGGCCAGGAACAGAGATAGGAGCAGAGATATGGGCTGGAAAGATGGGGTGCATGAGTGTTCTCTTACCTGACTCTGTGCTATTTGTCTGCAGAGGAAGCCACTGCTGTCAGTACCGGTATGTCTTACAGTGTGACTCTGACTGGGCCTGGGCCCTGGGGCTTCCGCCTACAAGGAGGCAAGGACTTCAATATGCCCCTCACTATCTCCCGGGTAAGTGAACATTGTCCCTAGCCTTAATCCCAAAGGGGCAGGGCATTCTTGGAAGAGGGCATGCTCATGTCCATCTGTCTGTCAGTCAGTCTGTCTGTCTTCCCAGGGCTCTTGGAAAGCAGAGCCTGGCCTGTTCCTGGCCTGAAGTCTAGGACTGGACTGGTCTGATCTTGGCCACAGCTGAATTTGCTCACTCCAGCTTGTTCTCTGGACTTCGCCCATCTAAGCAAGATGTCATGGACAAATAGCTGGCATTTTGAGTAGAGGAGCAAATGCTGAGTTCGCAGGGTGGGTAGGCCTGTGGGCAGAGAATGCAGGGCCTTCCTAAGCCCTTTCCTAGCAGGGTAGGCTTGGGGTATTCCTAAACTTGGGATCCTTCCCTAAAAGTGGACAGTTGCTTAGGGAAGAACATTCCTAGCATAAGGAAGGCGGCTAACAGGTTGGTAGATGGGCAGATCGTTGTCCCTGCTGCCTGTTGTCCTGACATAAGTCCAGGTTAGCCTGTCTCCGGTGTCCCTGGACAGAAGACAACAGCCCATCCTCTCTCTGCCATAGTGGGCCTGACAAGAACCTCATGTCACCTGGCTCTTGGGCTGAGCCTGTCTTCCTCACTTGAGCCCAGGGCTGCCTGTCTCATGACTTTGCTCTTGCTAGGCTGGGGAAATGGCCCTGGGTCCTGTAGCGTGTTGTGAGGAACATCACTGCCCAATAGAAATGGCACAGAATGTCGTGTGTTGTGAGGACGGTTCCCATTTGGGTTGGAGAAACTGAGGCCCAGAGACAAAAAGTAGACATGCTTGAAAGGAAGAGAGGAGTGGCTTTAATTACCGCCATAACCTGTTGCTGTCTGCTCGATATTGGCTAGATAAAGCACCCCACAAGTCCTGGTAGATGTGGGACTGAAGGCCCCATGGCTTAAGGGTACTGAGAAGCATACAGGGAACAAGTTTAACCTGCTTGGTGGCTGAGCCCCTGGCAGGACTGATCTGGGTTTAAGGGGCAGGGTTAGACTCCAGGGTGTCACTGTGAAGTTGGAGGGTGGAATCAGGCAGAATTGGGTTGCTGTATCTCCCACAGAGTGGCAGACACTTGCCTTGGACCTGGGGCTAGCACTCAGTGGTAGTGGGGAAGCCTGGAAAGTGCTCGACAGAGGGGCAGAGCTGAAGCAGCCTTGGTCCTCAGATCACTAGGCATGTGGAGTGGTCTTTGGGAAAGGACATTGTCCTTCACCTCTCAGCTGCAGATCTGAAGTGTCTGTCCTCCAGACCTACTGCCTTGAAAACCACAGGGCCCCTATTAAGAGGACACCCTAAACGACGTACATTCTCTGAGACAATGTGGTGACATGTGGGTGTGTGAGTCCAGTGACCACCCTCAACCCAGTCCCTACACAATCTCTGCTGCTGTGACGGTAGGTTTCCTCTCTGTATAAAATAGGGCTTCTCTCATCATGCCCAAGTGCCCTCTGGTCTGAGGGATGATTGATTGGATGCCTAGGATTGAGCCCACCATCCCTAAGACTCATTGCTGGTGCTCCGTGCTCTGTCTAAAGGGAACAAATTCATCCCCAGGATCAGTGGCACCCAGAAAAGCCAATGACCTCACTCAGGACCTATGCACCACCTGGCCCCAGATGGCCAGGGCTTAAATGGCAGCATAGAGGCTTTAAGCTAGATAGTAGGAAGAATGTCCTCAATCAAAGAGGGGGTAGTTGGGGTGAGCTGGAAGCTAGGGAGACAATTAAAAATAGAAGCCAGGGCATTGGGAGATGGGCTCATTTCTGATACATACCTCAAACCACCTGAAGCAGGGTGGCCTGAGCAACGGTGTTCAGGTCTTGCTGTCTCCTGAAAAATACAACTAGTGGCCACAGATACAATGGACGTTGGCATTTCAGGCTCAGTGCTGATGGCAAGACAGACACTGTGAAGACTAGGCCTGTGGTATTTTCGGCCGACGGGTACAAGATCCTTCTGTATTAGAAACACTCTGCTCACAGAGACACAGGGTCAGAACTCTGCCCATGTTCCTCCACAGTTCCTTGCTCAGGGCACAGTCACTGCAACTGTGAGGGGTGATCAGGCGGGAAATCTGGGGTTACCGGCTCAGAGCCCAGCAAACTAAGATTTCCATGGGATAGAGATGCCCATGGGTAGCACTCAAATGTCCTGCGTGCCCTAACTTCCCCGCTTGTCTTTTGCCTGTCAGTCCGGGCACTGGTGGAAGCTGGCCTCTCTCAAAAGAAGGTATGCATTCCTCCCAAGAAGAGCAGCTGCCACTTGCATTTTGGATGATAGCTTGGGTATCACCTTGCCCATGGCCTCCACCCAAGCACTATGGCATCAACCTGAACAGAAGACCCCTTAAGACTCTCATTCAGTGAGCTTGAGCCTGAGAATCGGCAGAGATACACTAGGATGGAGGGCAAAGCCTTTATTTATCCGGGACAGGTGCAGAGGCTTGCAACCTGAGCTGCCCTCTCCCTCTCCCCTCCCTCACCGTAGCCAATTCTCCAGGAAGCAGAGTTGAGGGAGCGATCAACAGGCCCAGCCCTCACCAGGACCCTTGCCTCTGGCCAGATGCTGAGGCTAAGTGCGGGGCCTTACCCCTTCATGGCTGTGGCACCCTCCACCTTAGGAAAGAAGCAAATGTCTTTGTGCAATTCTATCACGGCCTCAGTGATCTTGCCTATGAAATGGGGTAGGGCTGTTCACACCTGTGAGGGTACAAGTGTGGAAATGAGGCTGGCTCTGAGGCTAGTGTGCAAAGGAGCTGTGGGCAGGGGCAGGCCTGCCTCCTTATTGGAAGGCCTCTGCTCTCAGAATCTCCATCCTACCTGGCAGGCTTGCCTGGGCCATAGTCCAGAGGTTTTCTGCCTCTCCTCTGGTTTCAGTTTCAGTATTATTGAACCGTCTCAGTTAAGGTGGGGACAGTGAGAGCAGAGGACCCTTGGGGAGAGGACGGGAGGACAGTCTGAAACTATTCTGGGGGTGGCTGTGCTGGCAATTCCTGGAATCTCCAGGCCCCTGGAGCATAGCATCTTGAGCTGTTCTCGGCAGCGCCTATCAGTGCTGACAGGCCGTGCCGTTTATAGTGCTGCTGAAGGTCAGGCAACCATCTATCCAACTACCCGGCAGTGAAGATAAGGAACAGTCATGACTGGAGACTGCATTCTTAAAGGTTCAACTCTCCAGGTCCTCCTGTGACTCAATCTCACCTCTGACCCCCTAAATGTCCGGAAAGAAGCAGGCCAGAGGCCTCCTAGGTCCTGTGAGGGGCTCTTGCAGGTCCCTGAACCAGAACACAAGCCAAGGGCAACTCTATGGGCAGACAGGAATGCGGGCAGATACTATGGGGAGACAGGAGACTATGGGGACAGCAGATGTGAGGAGTCTATAGGCACCAGGGACAGGAGGAAATCCCCCAACTGTGAAGACACTCCAGTCCTTACTTCTAGCCTTCACATTCGCAAACATGGCTTCTCCACTCTGCTAGAGCCAGGTTCCTGCTTTCACTGGAGCTGTCCTGGGAAGCGTGATGCAGATTTTCCAGGGCCAAGTGCACACAAGAACACTGACGATTTGTTAGAGAAGTAGAGAGAAAGTGTCAGGATCCGGACAGAAGAAGATCCACAACACACACACACACACACACACACACACACACACACACACACACACACACACACACCAATCATTGGTATGTGTGGACCCAAGCCCAGGTACCCAGATGAGTGAAGGATGGGAAATAGAGGAGTAGAGACCTGTGGTTGCTTCTTGGGAGGAACTCTGATAGCATAGAAGGTGAAATGAGAGCTGTTTGGACAAACAAAGCAGGGCATGGGAGAGTCTGGCTGATTTATACACCAGAGTTGGAATAGAGATTGAGGTCAATGGGAGACAGAAGTTTCCAGAGAAAGGGCAAGAGTTGGGGCAAGACCCCAAGGGAGGCCAGATGGGAAAAGAGCCGGCCTGGCACGTGGTAGTTTAATCCCAGAGTTAAAATGCACTTAGGACTTCAGGGGGAATCCCTGCTAGACTTTGAAGGAGGGGTTGGGAAGGTTCCACTCTTTCTAGGCCGTTACTTGTCCTATGACAGCTACACCACACCTGGAAAGTTGTACAATGAGCTTCTGAATATGGAGAGCGATGCTAAAAATCGTCTGTAGAACCCAGGGGCCCCAGCGAGGCTGCCGGCTGTCCTCTCTGCTTCCGGGGAGCTAGCAGATCAGGAGGTCATGGAATGGGAATTTTGAACCACTGCATGGCACCTTGTTTCTCTGGGACCCTGAACAAAATGCCTGCTACATACTTCTAGGAATAGTAGGCTTGCACAGGACTAGCCACTGTCAACTTTGTCCTGTTTCTCGAGATACCATGGGGTACAGCCATACCGATCACATACCTGCTGTCTCTTAATGCTATCCTTGACTTTTCTGGAGCTTCTAGGGAGAAGGAGGTCAGGGCCAGAACTCAAGCTCCCTGGGATGGGAGATTCCATCAAAATCTTCTCAATTCCTCAGCATTCTCATGTCGCACACTATTTAATAACGCAATCCTCACAACACACCCAAGGAAGGCCCCACGCTCTTGACACCCAATGGAATGTGTGAAGTTTCAACCAAAGCAGGCTTAACTTGACCCACCATTGTCCCAATGCTTTTCTTTTTCACCTTCCTCCTAGCATGACAGTGGTCATGGCATGGCATCAGCTGTGCTGCCTCTGGGGAGGGGGCTGTGCCTCGCAAATCACACGTGTCCTCCTGAGCATCACGGCACCCATTTCTCTATTGTCCTTACCTGGCTTACACATTTGGGGTCTAGAAGAGGAATATTCTGGGCACAAGTTGGGCAGTGCTTAAGAAGACACCCAGGACTTTAAAGGCTGGCGAGCAGCAGTTGGTAAGGGAGGGCCCTTTTAGTCTTGTTGCCATCACCTACGTGGTACAGGTCAGTGCTCCTGGGACCCGTTCCTTAAGGTCATGGCCCAGCATGCATGGGCCGAGTGGCAGATCTTGGCCCAGTTTGAACTTGGTGTCCCACCTTGAGGCCTCTCTAGGCTCTGCTTACTGTCCTGTTCCACACTGAAAAGTGACTGTTGGCTTGAAACAATTGAAAAATTAGATAGAAATGTAACACTCATCTAGAGAGAATTTTAAATGCTCAAAAAGATATAGAAAACCTTTTTTTAAAATAAAAAAAAATATCTCCAATAACAAGTGTGCTTCGAGTCTTTTCTGAGACAAAGCCAACAGAGAAAGGAGAATGTAAAGTTAGAGAAGAAATGCGTGGACTAAACTTTTTATGACCCCCCCCCCCCCCGGCTCTAGGCAAGGGCCCAACAGTGCCAGTCCCCTCCCCTGGCCTGCTGAAGTTACTCGTGCAGTGGAGAGAAGGGATCGGATGGTCCTTGGCTGTCTTTAGCATCCCTGCCTCCATCTAGTCTCCTTCTCTAAGGACACTTGAGTAGAAAAGAACATTTCCCTACATGTGAACACTTCACCCCCAGTTGAGGGACACTGGGCCCTGCTTAGGGCAGCCAAAGGCCAGGCCAGCTGAACACTGATGGGCAGACACAGATGCAGGGCCAGCGACGCCAGGGATAGGGGGATCCAGCTTGGTGACGCCTTCTGGAATGTTTGACTACTAACCAGGCCCCTGGAGCAAGGATTACCCCAGCCCACGCCTGAGGATATCAGACAGGGCCAGGCACAGGGGAGGATAAGTACAAGTTGGCTGTGCTCTAGAGAGAAATATGTCACCAGGCAGCTCTAAAGACATGGTGTTTCTGATGGCCTGCAGCTGGCACTAACTGATCACGCCCAGCCGCCCTTGGATGTCATTCTGGTGCCCTTGCTTACATGGTTATCATGCTCGGAACACTCCCATACTGCCTAGCAGTGTCTTTGAAGCCCCACCCTTCTATGTGAGACTGGTAGCTGCTTCCCTCTGTCCTACCGCAAACTATTTGCTGCAAGGAACAATTGCTTCTCCGTAGATAGAAGCACTTGGGGGGTGTCCTTGTGTAGGGATGTCCTGCTATGGAGAGCGTTTTAGGGGATGACACACCCCAGGGCAGCTTTACTAATGAGATATCTTTCTCTGGGAATGTCCTGCCACAGAGAGGCCAGCTGTGGGACATGGGCAGTCCACTAGGACAGCATGGCACTGGAAACTTTACCCTGGGTGTTTTCATCTGTCTTTGAAGTGCTTCTAACGTAAGACGGCCTGATGGATGGAGAGTAATGAAAGTGGTGCGTGATTGAAGTGGAAGAATGGGATGTTACGGTTGCACGGTGACGATAAGAATTGGGTGTTCATATTCTTTCAGCTTAAAGATCACTACAGTGAGTTGTTAGAGACAGCACAGCCCTGCATAAACAGCCAGGAGACTGGTGGGCTTTCTGCATAGCAGCGAGAGGCTTGTCTAGGAATGCATCTTGTGTTCTTCCTCACTGGTGTGTGTGTGTGTGTGTGTGTGTGTGTGTGCGAGAAGACAGTTTTGGGTATTGTACCTCAGAAGTCATTGTTGTTTGAGACAGGGTCTCTAATTGACATGGGGCTCACCTACTCAGATAGGCTAGCTGGTCAGCAAGCCCTGGGAATCCATCAGTCTCTGCCTTTCCAGCAATGGGATTACAAGTGTATACCTACCCCTGTTTTTCAGTTGTGTGTCAGGACTCGAACTCAGATCTTTATGTTTGCACAGCAAACGCTTAACTGACTAGGCCATCTCCCCAGCCTCTGTCAGCGTTTTCCACCTCTGCATTCAAGACAGCAACACACTTCTCTCACCACGGGCTCCCGGTGGTGATGAACTAGGGGATAATGTTAGTTCTATGATGTCCCTCTGGCGTCTGGAGAGTGGAAATCAGGTGTGTTTTCTTGGCCAGTCAGGCTTTCATTTCTCTATTGTTCTTGCCTGGCAATTTGAGGTCCAGGTGAGAAGACACCTGGAATGGGGTGCAATAGCCCACGCCTTTAGTTCCAGCACTTGGCAGGTGGACACAGGACCAACTTCTGGGCAGTGGTATGACTACAACAAAATCGCTCATTTTCTGGGCACAGTGACTGCAGGGTACCTTGATGTGTGTATAGTTCCCTTCAAGGAACCTGGCAGGAGGCGTTCATCCATTCCCAGAGCTCGACCAGAGGCCCACACAGGTTTGGCACATGGAACATGGGGCTACCCCCAGGTCATCTGTAATTGCCTTCTAAGATGGTCCCCAGACCTTAACCAAAATCCAGCTTCTGGCAGTGTTAATAGGCAGTGTTATTCCTTTGGTATAGCTAGGAAGGTGGGTAGGATGTGGTCAGAGATGCCAAGAGAACTAACTGGTGGGCATGTAAGGGGACAATACTAAGGGATAGCCTCCAGCCATCTGGGCAGTGGTGTGGGAGGTGTTCAGAGCCTCCTCTTTCCTAGGATGTCACTGATAATATGGCCTGTGTCACATTCCATGTGATGTCATACAGGGACTTCCTACCGTCATAGGGTCAGCTCCTAAAATACTTTTATGCATAACTTCCACACACTAACAGATTGTCCCCCTTGCATGTCTCCTCAATCAGTAACCATTTATACTGGGGACAAAAACGAACACTTCCATGTGATATTATCAGAGACTGAGACATTCCATTGGGAGTCATAGAAATTGAAGGTAGTCCCCTTTAGTGACAACCCATGAGCTATTTTCCAGAGTAGAGCTGCTAGTGTCATTCTGGCCATTTCCATCAAACCACTCTAAATTATGTCACTAAACCTTCCGGAAGTTTTCATCTCAGATCACTGTGGGTAGGGTCACCACAGCACCCAAAGTACTGTTACTAAGGGGCTGCCATGCAAAATTTGGTATTATGTATGATGTCATTGAAAGTTCTTTGTAAGCCACCATGGCTTCCCAAGTAATAGTGGGTGTAGCTTTCCCTACATCCCAGAATGCAGTTTCAGAGTAGAGTGTCAATGGCATTCTGTGCGATCCAAGACAGAGCCTCCAGACAAATATTTTTGGATGTCAGTGGGGCACAGGAATTAGGAACTAGCTTCATAATTATACTTTTCCTTCCAGAGGTATGCAGGTAGCCAGAGAGCCTTAAGCCTGCCTTCCTTCACGGCCTGCCTGACTTTCACCCAAGTAGGGCTAATGGCTCTGGTAGTTTTTGGTGTATCTGTCCCGATGCTTTTGTGAGGGGACATTTATGCTGTCGTTTGGTCTGGCAATGACTAGAATGACTAGGGCAGGGAGGTGCCAACTAAGTCTTCCCTCATTTCTTGAACTGGAAAGTTCTCAATGGCTTTGCAGAGTGCAGGGGTAACAGGTTAATTGGTGCAACATGTAGTCCCCAAATATCGATGGCCTAGCACAGTGGGAATGTATTCCTCATTTAGGAAGCCTGATGTACCATCTCTGCCTCAGGTAGTGACTCTGGGATCCAGGCCCCTTCCAGTTAGAAACTTGGCTGTCCTCCTCTCAAACCTGTGCATTTAGTCAGTCAACAAGCAACGTGCAGTACTCTAGTGATGGTTGCTAGGGAAAGACCGGGCAGGGATGTGTGCTACTTCCACCATCATTCCACTGGTCAGAGCTGGTCCCTTGATGGCTGTCAAAAAGTCCTAGGCAGTGGAAGCCAGGTGAGGAAGAACAAACAGGCGTGGTGAGCAGCCAGCGTCGGCCATTGGGAATAAGCACTGTAATGGGTATCTGTTGGATACTACAGGTGACCCTTACCTGACTCACCCCTTCTTCTGCTGTTTAACCAGATCACTCCAGGCAGCAAGGCAGCCCAGTCCCAGCTCAGCCAAGGAGATCTTGTGGTGGCCATTGATGGTGTCAACACAGACACTATGACCCACCTGGACGCCCAGAACAAGATCAAATCTGCCAGCTACAACCTGAGCCTCACCCTGCAGAAGTAGGTGGAACACTGCCAGAGAAGGGGACGTGGGTGTGGTGCAGGCCTGTGATGGGGACAAAAGAGAGACTGCCCTCAGCATTTGCATGGGTCTAGCCTTGTGCTACAGAACTGTGTAAGAAGGATGGGCCGAAATCATGGCCAAGCTACCGTTGCCTCTCTTGACGGAAGTGCATTAGACAGACAGCATGACCACAGTGCCACAGGGATATGGAGGGCTGGACCTGGAAACCCTGCTTCCTCTTTCCTTGGGCAGCCCTGCCCTCACCCCATGCTGAAGAGGCCCATGGGTGCTGACATGAAAACCGCTGGGGTTATGATTCCTTATTCTGGTCAAGCCCAGGGCCTCCCTTCGAGGGCCTAGTGCATGAGGTGATGTGCATTTGGGCCCTGCGAGTCCACTGCCCAGCTCTCGGTCTCCCCCAGGAGCTGTTGGCCAGGCGCCAATGTTCTCACTGGGTCTTCTTTCTTGTTTCTCTAGGTCCAAGCGTCCTATTGCCATCTCCACAGCAGCGCCCCCAATCCAGTCCCCACTGCCAGTGATCCCCCACCAGAAGGTAGGTGCTGACCGCTTCAGTGGGGTCCACTTATCCGTGGTTCCTGGATAAACTTGCCTGCCTGCCCCTGCCCCTGCCACCGCCGACCCTTACCTAGGACACATTGAGTTGTGGGGATGTCTATCTGGCCTCAACCCGGCTCCAGCAACTGTTCTGAGAAGACACCAGTTTGGAAAACAATGTACTGAGAAGAGGGCCAGCGTTCTAGCCAGACAGGAAACAGGTGTCTGTCTAGAGGGCTCTGACCCTCATTGTCTGGGGACACTGAGACTAGAGTTGCTGTAAAGAGGCCCCAGCTTGAGTCAGCCATCCCAGGAGACACTCCCAGGTATACAGGGCCTTACTGGCCCTCAGAGTTTCTCCTCCACACAGATTCTTCTAATTTCTAAGTGTCTACCCTTCCCTCACAGCTACAGACCCCTCTGTCCATTAGGAAGTTCTTCTAGTCTTAGAGGCTAGGACAGGAGTGGAGGGGCAGCAGAGCCCGGGGCCCCACATCTCATCACTAGATCCAGAGGCCTCCCAAACCTTCTCTAAGCATCTGAACCCTGTGGTCCAAGGGTCCACACTTGGGAAGGCCTATGCATAGCTCCTCCACTCACTCTTTACTACAACTATAGACTGACTACAGTCTGTCCAGTGAGGAGATTGGACAGTAGGTGAGATGGGATGAAGAGAGTCATGGTGGGATGATGGTCATAGATTGGATAGATTGGGGAGCTGGACATAGGGCTACTGGGAGAAATTGCTAAGGTAGATAGAGATGGCCAAATAGCCCAGTTGCTTCCTTAGGTTTCCCTCTGTACCTCCACCCCAAATGTCAGTCAACCCTGGCTATGAAGGGTCTTCTCGAGGTTAGGTCAGTAAATCCGGGGGCCTGTCTGCACTTACAGGGTACCCATTCAAAGGGAAAAGGGGCCAATGGACAGGATAATGATACCTTACTCTCCCCTGAGCTGTGCATCCTCCTCCTTCACCTCGGGGGCAGGCCTGGCTTTCTGGGAGGAACTTCGCATTCTGCCTAGATGGATGCCAGCCTGTAGACCAGGAATCCCAGGCTTCCCTCTTCCGCTCCTCTTGCTGAGGGCCTTCCTTTGTAATGCCCCGTCTGGGTGCTTCATGCAGCAGGCTGCAGACTGTGGGTGGTGGGCTACAGATGCTCACACTAACACATCTGTTTCAAGTCCACCTAGAAGCACAGCCATGTGTGGCCTCTAACCACTGTCTTCTCTCTCCCCTGCATGGTGCTGCCCTATGTCAGGACCCCGCTCTGGACACGAACGGCAGCCTGGCGACTCCCAGCCCCAGTCCTGAGGCGAGGGCCAGCCCAGGCACCCCGGGCACCCTGGAGTTCGGGGACACCTTTAGCTCCTCCTTCTCCCAGACCTCTGTCTGCGCCCCACACACGGAGGTCCCGGAGTCTGTCCTTCCTCAGGGCAGCCCAGTGGCTAAGACCAGCCCAGAGGGTGTACAGGGCTCAGTCAGCCCCAAAGTTCTGCCAGGCCCCAGGCAACCGAGGCAATATAACAACCCCATTGGCCTGTACTCAGCAGAGACCCTGAGGGAGATGGCTCAGATGTATCAGATGGGCCTCCGAGGGAAGGCCTCAGGTGCTGGACTCCTAGGAGGGTAGGTAAAGGGCACCCTGCTGTCTGGTTTGGAGCCACCTGGGTCATCGGTGCTCACTACAATAGCCTGGTCAGGTGGTCAGGGGGGGAACAGGCCTCACCACAGCCAGCCCTGCACCCATGATAGTAGCAGCCCATAGCAACACCAGCAGGGATCCTACCAACATTGGCTGTCAGCCAGGCACATCTCCACTTTGTATGACCACTCTGGAGTGATATGCCAGCTCTTTGCAGATACAGAAACTGAGGCTCAGAAAAGGTTGAGCTGAGGTCCAGATGTCCAACTACTAGGTGGCCAAGCTAAGCCTGCATGCAGGAGCCTCTGACCCCCAAGATTTTCACCCCATCTCACTGCCTTTTGGAACTAAAGATCTACAAGAAAGACCCCACATCCCTGGGGGCCCTAGGCAAGAACAAGGAAGAGTTAGAGATAAGAGACTAAGTTCTCAGCCAGGCGATGGTAGTACATGAGCCTTTAATCCCAACACCCAGGAGGCAGAGGCAGGCAGATCTTTGAGTTCAAAGCCAGCCTGGTCTACAAAGTGAGTTCCAGGACAGCCAGAGCTATATAGAGACCTTGTCTCAGGAAGAAAGGAAGGAAAGCAGGAAGGAAAGCAGGAAGAAAGGAAGGAAAGCAGGAAGGAAGGAAGGAAGGAAGGAAGGAAGGAAGGAAGGAAGGAAAGAAGGAAGGAAGGAAGTTCTCTAAGGCTACCTGGGGGAAGAAGCAACAGAAGTACCCATGGAGAGACTGGGTAATGGTGTGAGGAGAGGAGGTTTGCAGGGCTGACCCAGGCTAGGATAGACTGCAAGGAAGCAGAACTCTGAGGAGAAAGTGGTCGTGGGAAACAACCCACTTCTGATCCCCACGGTCTAGCTAGTAAAACTCCAAGGTCACTGGAAGGGTAGAAAGGAGGGATGCACATATGCGCATGTATCAACTGCCAGGTCTCTCTTCCCTCTTGTCTCACAGTGACTCTGCTACTGTCCTGTACAAGGCGTGTTCTTATCTCTAGGTGCTAGAAGCACAGCCAGCTGAGTTGAGGCGTTGTAGCCCAGTGTCTCCGTGAAAGGAATCACATGGTTGTCTTCAGTTACTGGGAGGATAAAGACAATGGCACTTGTCACACATTCACTATGGGCTCATTGCCTAGAGTCTTCCAGCAGAAATTCAAGAGTCAGCAACATAGGAGTCCCATCAGCGTGGCCCCAGCCACACCCTCCTTCGCTCTTCTGTGTCCAGTAGACTAGAGATCTTTGGTTTCTCAACTTCCCCAGCCCCTTCTGGAATCTGAGCAAGGCCAGTGTCTAGCACATCATGGCTTCCCCAAGCCAAGGTTTTCCCAGCAAAGAAATGGAAAATTCTAGGAATGGTAGAATAAAGATGGCCTCTTTATCCTGCCTCTGATGGGTAGGTAGGTCTTCCTGGCACCTTCTGGACCCACTCCAGGCAAGAAAATTGCTTTATTGTTGACTGGGACCCCTGGAAAGTCTACTTGCAGTGATGGGATGCCTCCATGGCTGAGCTCTGACTCTGAGCTGGGATCTGACTCTTTTCTTATTAATTTACTTTATGTGTATGGGTGTTTTGCCTGAATGCATATCTAAGAGACTGTCTGATTCTCTAGGACTAGAGTTACAGACAGTTATGAGCTGCCATGTGGGAGCTGAGAATCAAAGCCTGGTCCTCTGGAAGAGTAGGCAGTGCTCTTAACTAACTGCTGAGCCATCTCTCCAGCCTCATAGGAACTGGCTTTGCCAATAACTTCAGAAGGGGGCATTGATTTCCTTCATCTTAACAAGTCAGATATAGTGTGAAACTGATCCTAGATCATACCGCTAGTAAGAGGCGGGCAGAACTAGCACTCCATCTGCCCAATTCCATCTTAATTTGAGATGAAACAGAAAAGGCTAGGAGGTAGGGGTCCTGTCCCTGCCCCCCACATACACCCCTTGACTCTCGGGTACCAGTCCTTTGGTGCAGATGCTGTCCAGAAATCTACTTGGTAAATGTAGAACTTATCATTTGATAACTGGAGAAGCAGGATCCAACAGTATCTTGGAAGCTTGATGCTTCATTCAAAGTAAGAGCAGATGCTGTAAGTGCTGACAGTTGTAGGCAGAAAAAGCTGGGACCTCTGCTGGGCTGAGACCCCTGCTTTGCCAAGTATCTAACTGCTTGAAAGCAACAGAGCTGGCGGTTCACTGTGCCCATCTACTGCATACATCCTGTGCTGAAGGCTTAGACGGAGGGTACAATTACTTGGCATAACCCATCTGCAGGGCGGAAATGCCCACTTCATCCTTTTTTATGTATTTTGTTCATTTTAATCCTGTTTTTACATGTGAGGGTGTTTTGTCTGCATGTATGTCTGTGTACCACCAAAAAAAAGGTATCAGATCCCCTAGAACTGGAATCATAGATGGTTGTGAGCTGCCACATGGGTGCTGGGAATCAAACTCTGGTCCTCTGAGAGAGCAGCCAGTGCTCTCAACTGTGGATCCATTTTCTCTGGTGCCCCCACCAGAGAACCTTATGCATAAGGTCGAGGTGGAAGAGCTTGCCCAGAGTCATAATGTTGAGAAGAGTCCAGGTTAGGAATTGACCTCTGTCCTGTTGCGCTCCAAAAGGAAGTCCCTTCCTTGCTCTCCTCTGAGTAACTTGTGGTGTGATTCTTGGCGACTGGGTCTCTGGGGAGGTATGGAGGAGAACCAGTGGAGAACAAGGGCAGAAAGACCCAAACAACCTGCAGGCCCCAGTGCTCCTCTGAAAGGCAGCCTTCCTCGGCCCCACAGAGCAAGGGCCCCTGAGCAGGCCCTGCAATCCTGGTGCCCCCTGCTGAGATCTGCGGCTTAGGCCCTGTCTGAACTGTGTGTGCTGCACACATCCAACCAAGCCTTTGGATGGAGCAAGAGCCTGGGCGGGGGAGGGCATTAGTGCCAGAGAAGGAGTTGGCGGCTGCACAGGGCAGAGGCAACCCCCACCAATCAGGTCAACACTGCCCTCTGCAGGGGACACTGGGCTGGCTGGTCATCACAAGGGCTGACTGACCCTGCAGCTGTCAGCACTGGCCAAACATGGAGAAGAAATGGCCAAGCCAAGCTGGCCTTTTCCTAATATAGATCCACTTGTGGCTATTTTGAGCATGGGAGGACAGAAGGAATTTTATCAGCTCTAAGACAGTAGGGGACCTGGGCCTGAGTAGATAGATATATCACTGGATCTCTGGGGGGGTGGGTGGGAAGTTCTTGGCTTCCCAGGACCCTGATTGTGGGATGACCAGGTCCAGGCTAACTGGGGCTGAGGTTTCTTCTTCCAGAGTTCATAGTGGGCAGATGTAGGAAAGCAGATGTATTTGGAGACAATGTCCACTCTCCTCCATATTCTCATCTGGAGTGTCAGACAGGGCCACAGGGTCTGCCACCACAGGCGATCTACATTTAAAGCATCAAACAGAACTTCCCCCAAAGAAGTTCATTTCCACAAGGCTCATTGTCCTGTCAGAATGAAGATAGGGTCCCTCAGAGCTGCTTATGCCAGGTGGCCCCTGCTGAGGGCTTTCCTGCACAAGCCTTGGACATGCACTCCACCTGCCTCATTGCTGACCCACAAGGCCTTTGGAGCAATCACTGGAGACTACATCAACCTCCTACTCCCTGCTCCAGGAGGAGTGATCAGTGCTGCCTGCCTGTCCTTTGGGAGAGAGAATAGGACCCAGGGGTCATGGGTAACCCTGTAGGGCACACAACAGCATTGCAATGCCTCCTTGGGGCATGAATGCATAAGCTGCCCCTATGCACAGAGCTACGCTGTGGCTTTTCACATTCGGGGGATCTAGCCAGAAGGAAGTTGGGGCCTCGGGCCCTTCTTGAAACGGCCATGGTAGTCATGTGTCTGTCTCAGCTCTCTCTCTCCAGTGTCTACAGCCAGGTTATACATATATGACCCACATACCTGTACAGCAGTTCTTGAGACAGACAAGAAATCCCTTCCCCCTGGCAAAGCTGGGCGTGGTGGGGACCACCATGGAGGGAGTCCTGGTGCCTCCACCCAAACCAGTGGTTCTAGCAACTCTGATCCCTGGTTCTATGTTCTCTCCTTCCTCGATTCTTACTCCTCAGCCTGAAGTTTTGCCAGTCCAGCCTCCTTCACGACGTGAAGATGGTCTGAAGTTGGCCCCGACGCCCATGCTTCCCCAGTAGAAGTCCTACTCTGACTGCCCTATCTTTGCCTTTTCTCTCCTTCCAGGTGATAGCCAATTCTCCAGCCAAGTTAGTATCCAAGGACAGCATGTGTGTGTCTCTGTGTGCCATTCCAGCATGCACCTGCCATCTGTTGGGTGTGGATGGTGTGTGCCTGTCGGCATGTGTGCATATGTGCATGTATGAGTGGAGGTTCATTGTGCCTTGGATGAGCCTGCATGGGTGTTTGCTGGAGTATGGAGGGGACCCATTGCAAGGGATGGGTATCTATGTGATGTCTCCATTTTGCTCTCAATTTCCTGCTCCAGCAGCTTAAGGCTTGCAGGCTAACTCAGGTGTGTGGGGGGTGCTGCACCGTCACTGGCCTGTGTGGGTCTGAAGACTTTTCTGTCCCAGTGAGACCCCTGAGAAGGACTACATGTGATTTTATCTCTGCTTGAGCATGCATCTACCTGTTAATGGGAAGAACCTGGATGGGTAGAGGTTGGCAAGCTATAGCATGCTGGACTGGGGGCGCCTGGGCAGCCTGAGCCATCCTCCAAGGAACAAGTACATGCACAGAAAGATCTGGAAGAACAGAGTCCCAGTGCAATGACCAGCAGGATAAGCCCCTTCATGGAGAAACTTTGCTAGAACCTCAGCATCTCCAAGTTTGCCCCGTGTGACCGCTTTTCGCCTTTGGAACATTCTAGACTCTGCTTGTGTGGCTGCCTCTTCTGTCACATGGCCCAGCTTCTGTCCTCTTCCCAAGTCCCACTCCCCCAAACCCTCTTGTGTCTGCTTCTCCGTCCTGCTGTGTGTGGTGGGAGTGTGCACCACGCCTGGTGCCTCCACTGACTATAAGGGAATTCAGGCTGAAGGAGCCCCCGAAAGGGAGCTGGGAGAGTTGATTCAGGTGGAAACAAAAGATCATCTGCACAGGGTTTTGGGAGGTGCTAAGAATTTTTCTGGCTACACCCAGGCAGCCCACAGTGGGAGAACTTGGGTAACTTATTTTGAGTCAAGACCTCAGCTTTGGGAGATCTCTCTCCACATTCCCACCAGCATCCTGACCTTGATTTCCCACGTAACCTTCATCACCTGTTGCCCTCTCTCCTCCCCTTCCCTCCTCCACCCCCTACCTTTCTTGCCTGCCCTCCTCAGCGCCGACTACCAGGAACGTTTCAACCCCAGTGCCTTGAAGGACTCAGCCCTGTCCACCCACAAGCCCATTGAGGTGAAGGGCTTGGGCGGCAAGGCTACCATCATCCATGCACAGTACAACACCCCAATCAGCATGTACTCGCAGGACGCCATCATGGATGCCATTGCTGGGCAGGCCCAGGCCCAGGGCAGTGACTTCAGTGGGTAAGCGCCTCCCAACATCGCACGCCTACCTAAGGAGGCTACCAAGCGCTAACAGGACCAGCTTTCTTCCTCACCTAGTGCCTCCTGGGTTCAGGACCCTGGAGGGGGTGGACCAGCCTTCACCAGGAACTTCCGGGATGTGCTGCCCTCTCTCTCTTCAGAATCTGCCTGTCTGTGTTCAGCTGTAGGAGAAATGGCAAAATGCAGAATGTTGTGTTTCCTCAAAGGGATTGCCAGACTCGGCATTTCCTGGGGTCGATGAGACTTCTGTTGTGCTTTTAAAGGAGCACAGGAGACTCCCCAGGCCTCTCATAACTAAAGCCACACCGGGGGGAGTGCAGGAACTGTCTTATTCTTCTAGTGATGGGTATCAATCCAGCACTTGGTGGGCTTGTTATTGGAAGAGGCGTTGGGCTAACTATCCAAGGTACTACTGGCAGTCAGCCTGATGATGGGCATTTCTCATTTCTTCTTTGCCCCAGGAATCCTGGCTTCAGAGTAACAGTTTACAGCGTCCTTGGTTCCTGGGATTGGACTATTCGCTTGGTTGGGGAATTTGAGGGTGGACTAGGGACAAAGCTGGTAGAAACTCAGATGAACCTGGTACTACTCAAGCATCAACAGATCATTCTCTCTTCTCCTATCTTCTCCTCACCGCCCCCAATTTCTATCTTGTCTTTGTCTCTTTCTTTCTCTGTGTATCTTTCATCTCCTCCCTGTATCTCTGTCTCTTTTCTCCTCTCCATTGTTGTTTCTTGTTTTTATCTGTCTCTCATCTGTTCTCTTACACACACACACACACACACACACACACTCATACACTCACGCACACACACGGTGGGGGGTGTGAAGGGAGCAGGTCATTACTTTATGCTTGGGAATGTCATAGCTCACCTCTCTAGGCAAATATTATCCCTGGATCAGAAATCCCCAGCAACTCAGGAGAAAAAGTCTAAGGGACATTAAACTTTTTTCTGAAGCTATAAAAGCAGATACTGTAAGAGGAACACAGAAGTGTCCCAGGCAGTTTCTATAGGGCAAGGACAAGCACTTGAGGTCATGGTGTACATGCAGAGGCCAGAGGAAAAGGCACCCAGCTAGCTACCCATCCTGTGGTCTGATTCTGGAAAGCCTGACCTCGGCTTAGAGAGGCACTACTTCCCTTCGACCACCAGGGGGTGGAGGTTGTCCATTTTGCAGTCACTAGTCCGAACAGCAGAGTTCATGACAGCAGGCAGCTCTTTGCAGACTTTTGGACTGTGTTGATTTACTTAAGTCACTCATTCAAAGAAAGAAAGAAAGAAAGAAAGAAAGAAAGAAAGAAAGAAGGAAGGAAGGAAGGAAGGAAGGAAGGAAGGAAGGAAGGAAGGAAGGAAGGAAGGAAGGAAGGAAGGAAAATGACCGTGCAGGAAAAAACAAAACAAAACAAAACAAACAAACAAAAACATTAGCTCATGTATACCCAGAAAAACAAGTCTGCCTGACTAAACCCAAAAGCCAATGAGATTTCCTGTTAACATTTGTCACTTGGTCCTTGGTGTGCCCTCAAAAAAAGTTAGTCACCAAAGGGAAGTCAAGTGGAAAATAATGGATGAACTGCTCATCACACTGTATTTACTGCACACTAGGATAACGTCTACTTTTGATTTTACTATCGGGGCACCTGTGATTTGGAGACTATGGTGCTCTGTTGGTGAATCTAGCTGTCTCCACCTGTTCCCTTCCCTTCCCTGCCTCTCCTTTTTGCTAGCGTGCCTGGAAAGGATCAACCTTTCCCCTTCCTTTTAACTCAAGCGCGCTGAGCTGATGCTGCTATGGCCCAGTGAGGAACCCTCCTGGCCATAACGTGTTCCGTTTCTGCTGTTAATTTCCACGGTTCTTTCCTCACTGACAGTTTTCTTTTTCTCTCTCTCTTCTTCCTTCACCCACCCCACTCCCCTAACTCATTTCTGGTCCTAACCCCGCTCTCTTGCGTGCGCTGCCCCTCTGCTATCCCATGATGGACGCGCACTCGCACTCGCGGCTGGGTTCCCTTCTGCTTGGCAGGGCATCGCCGCTGGCGTAAGTAGACCCGCAGTGTCTGTCTTGTCATCTGTCCAGTTGCAGGATGGTGTGTGGGCTTGGTGGAATGTGTCTGAGGACAAGTGGTCAGCCCATGTGCTCTGTCCACCTTTTCCCTCACATCCACCTCTCAGCCACACGACATCCTCTGCAATCTTACACAGGCAGATGCTTGTCTTTCGGAGACCACCCATGTCAATGTGGCTATGGAAATCTAGACTTGGCACTCACAGTGTACCCACCCCAGCCTGCCTTCTCCTGGCCATGCTTTGGTGAGGTTTCCCCAGACTTTCCTAGCTTCCCTGGAACATGGCACACTTGGGGGCCAGAATGCACACTGGGCGATTATTCAGTGCCAGAAGGTGACAAAGTCAAAGGCTGCTCTTTTTAGGAAGCCAGTCCCCAGAGCCTGCAAGGACTAAAAAGATCTGGTTGTTCCCAAAGACCTCAGGAACCCTTAGAATCTTTCCTGTACAAGAAATGGCTTTCCGCATGAAGAACAAGAATCCAGTCTTTGCTTCTCGAGCAGTTGTGAGCCTCTCCCTGGACAGACCCCAGAGAACCCATCTCTATCACAATCTGACAGTACCTTGCTCTCTAGGGAAGTGGGAGCAGGGCCACTGCCCGCCATCCTTTCTCTGTCTGTGCTTTCATAGTTCACCCTAAGGAACCAATCCTGGGAAACTAGGCCGATTCAACCCAGCTCCTTGCAGAGAAAGTCAAAGACCTGTGCACCTAGGGCATCCTCTCTCTGCTAGCTAGTCCCCACTGGGGCAGATGGAGGCAGGCAGGAAGGTGCGAGCTAGGACATGCCCCAACTGGGCTGTGTCTCCATGTGGTCAAAGCATCTAAGCTGTGTAGTCCCTGGTAGGCAGACGTGGCCTTTGAGCCTCCTGACCATAAAACACCTGATAGAAAAGACTCTGGGTCAACCAGAAAAGGTAGTACGTAATCTCAGCACTCAGGAGAATGGAGCATGCTACATAGCAAGATTGTTTCCATATGAATATATAAAAGCAAAATAAAGACTAAGAATAACAAGGGGAACAAAAAGGACACTGGGCGGGGGGGGGGGCTGGACCACTTCAGTCATCCCTCGATGTTGCCCCTGTCTGCCATAGCCGGCACTAGTCAGCTGACCTCTCTGGACCTCAGTTTCAACATCTATTAAGGAAAGGGCTAGCAGGTAGGCTGTTACTGCCTTAGGCCTGGGCTGAGAGCGCCTCTGACAGCTGAGAAAGTTTCTGGGCAACACAGATCCACAGTCTGATCCATAAAACTCCAGTCAGGTGGAAATTCCAGCACCTGAGAGGATCCCTGCAGGAGTTGATACTTTAATTCAGTTAAGAATTTTGAGCACCTACTGTTATGTCAGACCCTGGGAGCTTAAGGGAATATCAGCAGATTCCCCTCAAAAGACTATGCGGCTTCGGGGCAGAGACCAGGCCTGCAGCCTATTCCAAACTCCGCCTCCGTCCCCAGCTATAACCCCCACCATCCATGCAGATCATGCCAGTGCCGAGCAAAATTTCCCGCTTTGTTTCTCATAACACTTTGTAGCTAGCCAGGCTGTCTCCTGCAGCTGAGCCAGAAGCCCCAGGCGTCTTCCAGCAACAAGGCCTTGGCAGCTCCCTGTCTGGATCTGTGGGTGTGAGGAGGCCATTGGATGGGTCCTGAGCAGGACTCCAGGTCCCTCAGGCAGGCTGTTCCCACCCTGCCCCACGCAGAGCTGGCTCAGGGAAGCCAAAATCACTTCAAGGAGAACTACCTCCTCCTTCCCTAAAGGGACTCCAGCCTGTGGGGTGGGAACTTGTTTAGGTCCAGGGTTAGCACTGGAGTGGGGCCAACAGGAAGGATAGAAACCTCATGGGCAAGAAGTCCACGGTCCCACTGGGCCTCCCCTGACCTCTGAACCCCTGAGCACCGAAACTCCAGGCGTCTCAGCTCTTCTGATAATAGTGGGTGGAAACAGTGGGTACAGATGTGTGTGTGGGGGAAACACAGGGGGAGAACAAAGTTGGGGTAGGGGTGGAGGGGGTCTGTGTTCCAGTCTGGCCTCCACCCACACCCCTTCCTGCCCTACAGGAGCCTCCCAGTGAAAGACTTGGCTGTGGATAGCGCCTCTCCGGTGTACCAGGCTGTGATCAAAAACCAAAGCAAGCCAGAAGATGAGGCTGATGAGTGGGCCCGCCGGTCCTCCAACCTACAGTCTCGCTCCTTCCGCATCCTGGCCCAGATGACAGGGACAGAATACAGTGAGTGGAAGAGTTGAAGTGGGACAGAGAAGGGGTGAGACAGAGTGGCCTGGCTCCTGCAGTCTTAAAGCCCATAGAAGCTGCCCTTGATGATTAACTGACATTGGCAGAGAGTTGGCCATGGGGAAGAGCTCTGGGCCTCTAGGTGGGCCTTCTACCTAACCCCTAACTCCAGACATGAGCAGAAGCCTTGTCATATAGTTTCCTGCAAGGTGATGGCTCATGACTGGGAGATGAGGACCTGCGCGCCTTCTCGGGCCACTCCCTCTCAACTCCCCCTGGCAGAGGAGGCCTGGCATGCATACTCTCAAGGCCCCCTCTGACAAGATGGCTGATTCCTGGGGACCTAACTGTCCTCAAAGCTGTAGTGGGACTTTCTTCCTATGTCCACGGTGAGTCCTCCTGACCAACTTCTTTTTCCCACAGTGCAAGATCCGGATGAAGAAACTCTGCGGAGGTCAAGGTAGGTGCCTAGACCTGGGTTCCATGGCCTTGCCTTCTAATCTTGTCCCTCCCCGGGTAGCCCCCAGGCCACATGACTCATGGAAAGAACCTTTCGTGTTTATGTATTTGAAAAGCTCAGCCCTTAAAGGGCTCCAGCAGATTCGGGCTTGGGTGGCTTTCCCAGGTCAGTGTGGGTAGACACAGGTGTGAGGACTCTAGGCTGTCCTGGCTCCCTTCCTGGGCAGGGGCAGGGCTGCTTTGGCCTTCGCTGGGCTTTGGAGAATGAGGACACTTCTTCCTGTAAGGGCAGTGAGCCAGCGCTTCACCTGCAAACTCCTCTTGGGCCTATTCCCTTGTGAGTCTGAAGGCTTGGCACTACGAGCAGGCACACGGAGGGCCATGCTAAGCATGCATACCTGACCCCTAGACTCGCCGCTGGCCCATGCATACACTGAGGCACTAGTTTTATAAATTGCTCAAGCTATAACAGCTGCTTCAGGGAAGTACAAGCCCTTGGCACAAGGAGGGGCTTGTATAGGGCTAGGCATCTCAGGGCATGGTCTCCTGGTCAGTGGCAAGTCTGGGGCCATCACCACTTGCCTACTGCCCGTGCCCTGTTAGGAGCTGTAGCCCTGGGCATGAATGGAGCATGGCTGTTTTGAAACCCACTGGAACCTGTCAGGGCCTTCCATGGTGAGGCATGGGGGGGGCAGTGTGATTATCTGCTTCTGGTAGTGAGGATGTCATCTGCATGTTCTTCTTGGACAGTCTGTCTGGGACCCCTGAGTCCTGTGATGGCCTCTCTGGGAGGGTCTGGGACTCCAAGGCATGTTATACCCTGAGCCAAGCTTTCTGTACTTGCTAACCACACATGGTAGCCACAGAACTCTAGAAGAGTAGGGTTCTGGGGCCAGCTGGGACTCCATGTGCATTTGATTGTTGAACTTGTATTTTTGCCAACCTGAGCTGCTCCCACTTTTTTTTTGGCTGGGAGTGTGCTCCTCCCAGCCCTGCTAAGGGTGCCATGTGGTCCCGGAAATGTGTTTAACCTCTTAGCTCCTCGGTGCACCAAGAACACCAAGTGTGATGCTGCGGCGTCTAGCTCAGATGTGGAGAGCCAGCTGTTTACTGTGTGCTGAGGTCTCAGCTCTCCATTCCTCCTGTGCTCTACATGCTGTCTCTGTGTTTTTCCCACCCTCTTCATTGAAGCCACCCACATAGATGTCCTAGGGAGCAATGCAGACTTTCCCCAAGACTCAATAGAGGGGTCTTGGTGTCACCTTCCTGACAGAGCTTACACCCTATGTTCTTTCCACCAGGAAGTCAACTGGAGGCTTTTTTCTCCCCTTTACAAAACACAGCATCCTTCCTTCATGGCCTCTGTCACCTCTTCTGGTCACTTTATGTTCTTCTTCTGATCAATATGCAAACTAGTCATGCCAAGCTTATGGCTCGTTGTCAGCTGTTCATGCTTAGAAGGAAAGGGTTCCCAGCAGGAGAGCGAATCTGTTCCCTGGAACATGAGCAGGCACTGCCATAGGGTTTCCTTAGAAGAAAATCTGGCAAGAGGTTCCCAAGAAGAGGCTTTCTTTATCCTGCTTCCTTCCTCAGCCCCACCCCTCCCAGTATTCCAGATCCTTCAATGAAGACTGGGGTCTCAGCAGACACCCCAACCCCTGCCCTGGCCTGGAACCAGAGGGTGCAAGCCTCTTGATTCTGTCTCTCTCCTTTTCTGACTTTAATTTGTTGAGGGGTGTCCTCATGGGCAGAGGCTTCCATGTCCCCAAATCTCAGCAGCCCCAGGGCTCTGGGGCAGAGGCTGTGCATGCCCTAGTTCCATTATGCTCAGGAGAAAAGTACCAAGTTAAGTCTGCAGCCACTTGGGGCCGTAGGCTCACTCACTCAAGTGGCCATGTGAGCAGAAGAAAGCACCTTTGTCCCTCATATTCTGCTTTCAGATTGCTGAGGGGACTCACTTCTCAGTGGCCAGAGCCACACCCTGCCTCCAGAGTTAGAGGCTGAGCCCCAGGGCCTGCTGATCCATCCTCTGGGCTGATGACAGCTCCATCCCTGCTCGTTTGGCCTCCCACATTGGCCCCTAGTATTGTGGCATGCTGGCAAGTCTGCAAGCCACAGCTGCAGACTGGGACAGCTGAGCACCGCAGTCTGAGCAGACCCGGGAGGCCTCCTCCCTGTCTTTTGCTCTCCCCTCAGTCTCCCTCCTCAGTGCATGCCTCTTCTTGTCTTTTCTTTGGCTAGCCAGGAATTTCCCCACAGTATCAGACAGTCTAGGTTCACCAGATTCATAGGAGTTCTAGAATTGTCCTTCACTTTGTCGTTGAGCGCTGATGACAAACTGTCTTTGCACCTCAGTGGACTCTGTTTAAACTGGAAATTCATCTGGCAACTGGCCGTGTCCCATTTTGCACCTCCTTTGTCTGTATGAGATGTGGCTGTGAGTGCTTGCAGGGCGGTATGGGCCACAGGGCCTTTGCTGGTGCTTCTTCCACGACTTCACCCAGACCCTGGAGAGGCAGGTATGTGGCAGGGGGAAAGGCTCAGCACTTAGATGGCAGTTTCACTGTTGAACTTCTGTGTGGCTTTGGACTACTCGTGTGGACATCTCTGAGCCTCTGGTATAATGCAAAGTCAGGTCAGACCAGTGTTTTACAACTATGTTAGCAACCAGCAGCTCCCACTTTTGTGCAAGAATCTTATAGCGTTCCAATGTGCGTGCTGGGTTCCAGGAGTAGGGTGAGAGGGTGCCAGGTCACACGGATGGGAAAGGGGACCTCTGTGAACACAGCGATGTGGGGATGCAAGGAGCATGGCCTGGGGACTGTGACTATGTGTAACCGTAAGACCAGCTGAGCCTAACATCAGTCTTTCTGGTGCAGGCATGCTGGCAGCTCATTTTTAAATTGGACTTTCCATTTTGAGGTAATTATCAATTTACTTGCAGTTGTAAGAAATAACAGAGATGCCGGGTAGTGGTGGCACATGCCTTAAATTCCAGCACTCAGGAGGCAGAGGCTGGAGGGTCTCTGAGTTAGACACCCACCTGGTCTATAGAGCGTGTTCCAGAACAGCCAGAGCTACACAAAGAAACCCTGTCTAAAACAAAAACAAACAAATAACAGAAGGACGGAAGGAAGGAAGTGAGTGAGTGAGGAAAGAAGGAAGGAAGGAGGAAGGAAGGAAAGAAGTTAGGGAGGGAGGGGAGACTCCTTGCCTTTTTTCCATTTCTGTTTCCACTGACAAAGTCTTATAGCATAGCACAACATCACACTGATAATGATGACATCACTTCAACCCCGAACATAGACTGTCCCACACCTAAGACTGTTACACATGTCTCCATACAGACACACACACACACACACACACACACACACACACACACATACACACACACAGACACGCTACCCACCCCCCTTACCCGTGACCAGCAATGGAATCATATAGCATATGATCATTTTAGGGTTGGCTTTTTCTATTAGCAAAATTCCTTTGGACTTTTTATAAGTTGTTGAGTGAACCAATACAGATTCACACGGTGTCCCTTACCCCCCCCCCCACACACACACCCTGTTTCCAAAATCCAAAGTGTCGCAAACCTGAAACTTTTCTGAGCACCGTGAATACCAAAGGTGGAAAATTTTACCTTTGACCTCATGTCAAAACAGATTCTAAGCCAGGTGTGGTGGCACATGCTTTTAATCCCAGCACTTGGGAAGCAGAGGCGGGAGGATCTCTGTGAGTTCAAGGATAGACGGCTTTACATAGAGTTCCAGAGCAGCTACATAGCAAGACCTTGTCTCAAAAAGAACAGAAACAATAGACACGGATACCAGGCTTGGGGGCAGCTCAGCAGCAGAGGGCTTGTCTACATGCATGAGACCCTGGGTGCAGTCTTCAGGGCAAGAACAGTGGTGGGAACAAAACACAGGTCTCATAAAAATACTATGTTCAAGTTTGTGGAGAAAGTGTATATGTAATATAAATGAATTTTATGTCGGGTCCCCAAGACATAATATTTTCAAATATTCCAAAATCATCTAAAATCCAAGACAGTTCTGTCCCATGCATTTTGGATCAAGGTGATTCAGCCTGGAGTTCATTTGTCCCTTTTTACTGTTAAGTAGTGTCCCAAGATGTGGACATAGCAGTTAGATTTTTGTTTTTGTTTTCACCTAGTTTGTAAATATTCACAGTGCGACCTCTGGACCCAATGCCAGCACGGCGTTTTTTTGTTTTGTTTTGTTTTGTTTTTTTAACTGTGTCTCGGTTCAGGTCGAGTGCACTGTGTTTATGGTTAGATGTGGATCCTGCTATGGAGGTGCTAGGGGCCCTTCTGTCAGGAAGGATGGGACCCCCACATCACTGGCTGGCCTTTCCCTGCTCCCCCTTCTTCCTTTTCTACATGTTGGTCTCTGGGTGCCCGAACTGCACCTTCGCCTGGGCAACTATGGGTTGGGCCTCCCCGTGGCCCCACTGACAGGAAATAGTGGGTCCCGCCCCTTTGTACCTTGGGCAGTGAGTATGCGTGTGTGCTTGTGAACTGGGGTGGGCCTGGGCTATTCTCAGGCCTGGGCATGCAGGAACCCAGGGTAGCATGTGAAGACTTCTTTCTGGAGATGGTGAAGATGAGAAAGGCCGGGCAGTACAGGGAGGGAGGTGACAGGTCTAATCACCAGTCATCATAGAAGTGAAGTGTCCCTTCTTGGTGCCCAGCCAGAGGACAGAGACTGTTCTAGACCTGCCTGACTGTTTAGTTCAGTTTCAAGAGCCCACAGCCAAAGCAGCTCTGCCCAGCTGTAGCCACATGGGCCAGAAAGCCTCCCTTTGCCCACTCTAGCCATTGGCCCTCTAACCAGGCCCCTAGTCTATACTTCTCCTCCCAAGTGAGGCAGAGACTTCTGTCCCTCCATTTTGTCCCAGAACTCTTGCCCCATCCAACCCAAGCCTGCCCTCTGGAGAGTGGGTACCTCAAGGATGGCATCATTCATCCCCACCCCT